GCCGCATTTTGTTGCTGTTGTTGCTGTTGTGCTGCGGCAGCCGCAGCGGCCATCTCAGCTTCTTTCTGTTGCTGCTTTTTCGTTGGCTTCCTTTTCTTTTTAGGAGGAGGAGCCTGGACTGCTTCCTGAACCATTTGCGAATAAGTAATCAATTTAATGTTTCCATTACCACTTTTATCCGTTTCTGTAGAATATGTTGTTTCCCAAAACTGAGTAAAAACGCGCACACAAATCGAATAAACTAAAGCTTCACCTCGACAGGAGGCCCTCGAATTGCCCTGGCACCACAGGATTTGCAGTCGGCATGCTACCTGGCTTCATGTGAGGCAGGATAGCTCTGCATACGCTGTTGTTGCACATTGACTGGAACCTGCTGAGGCTGCTGCGGTTGACCACACAAACATTCCAGGTTTTGTGGCTGACCAGCATACCCCTAAAAATTGTCAAATAAGTAAATGAAAAGTCAATCATCCCATTCCCATCAGAAATCCCATCGAAAACTCACCATTGGTGGTCTCTGCTGCTGCACTTGTGCTTGTTGTACAGGAGTAGCAGGATTGTAGAAACCACCAGGTGTAAGGGGAGCTTGCTGAGGTTGGCCAGGTACCGGATGTTGTTGTTGTTGCTGCTGCTGTTGCGCTTGAGCAGCCGCCACTGCAGCAGCATGAGCTTGTTGTTGCTGCATCATCATTCTTTGACGGTGTTCCATTTGCATCTGGAAAGAAGTGCGCTAGAAATTCGATCCTCAAATGAGATCCTCAAAATTAGGGATTTTCGATGACTAACAAATCCTTGAATTGGATATGTATAAGACAAAGGGACTATGAATCTTTTTTGAGTTGCCATAAAAGAAGAGACTTGGAGAGATCCAGTCATTCACTTTTCTGACACAAATATGCAGGGAGGCGCATATTACGAAAATGACAGTGTCCGCAGAAGTTCTTCAATTTATTTATTCTTATTCGTTTATATTCCTCTACTGCAGCATTTCTCGTATTCTATGTAAGCATAATACAAATCAACGAAGACGCTTCACGGATCTGTGGATTTATCCAGAAGCTATCATTGCCTTACATCTACACAGCGTTTCGGCACGCCACTTCTAGAAGCTTATCAAAGTGAATGAAATCTGGGTCTACATCACCAGTCGAAAGTTTGAAAAATGGGAAACCCTTCTGAGAAAGGCGGATGGTGAAACCACCAGCTTACATCGGCGAGCCGCTTTCACGGGTTATGTCACTACTTTCCCATCAATTGGAACCGTTCAGTTTGCTTGAGGTCAGAAATGTTATCGATGTAATAATTTGAATCGGTTCGAGTGATTTGTCTTTGAAGCGCTGAGATCCGAAGCCGCTCTGGAACCCGGGAATTCGAGCTGCGAGACCCACTGAGGCAGGTTTCAGGAAAATGTTGAATATAGCTTCCTAATGCCCACTGAGTTATTGTTTACAGTCATTATTCAGAATCATCAGCTATTCAAAGCTGTGACGCCCAGCTTATAAAATGTGATTGCACCAACATATTATATGCTAGACTAAGAAAAGAATAGACAAAAGTATAAGGATGGTGAGGGCACGCGTAACAACAGTTACCGAGAAATAAATAATAAAATTGAAAATATCCGCTATACAGTCTCTTGTGAGCTGATTCCGCTGATCTAGGAAGGTACGGTACTTAATCTGCCTACTTAATTATGTGATGTTTAGCTGGTCTCGTAGGGTAGCGAGACATTTGGTCGAATAAATCGTGAATTGGTTTCCACCTTTTTAGGCTCCGAAGAAGGCGAAATCGCCGAAACGTTAGCCGCCGGAATCATATTATCAACCTCGTGTGCTGTTAAGTCAAATAAACTTATACTATAACTATGCCGAGGTTCATCGAGAGTCGATCATGGAGACTAAAAAACTGAGTTTTCGAGCATTGAGCAGGTTATTACGTATTTACAAAAGACGGAACGCCTACTGAATAGGAAAGGAGGAGGTGATGGGAAGTGAAGAAGCAGAATATTACTAGGGTAATACGAATATTCCTCTACTGCAGCATTTCTCATATTCTATGTAAGCATAATACAAATCAACGAAGACGCTTCACGGATCTGTGGATTTATCTAGAAGCTATCATTGCCTTACATCTACAAAGCGTTTCGGCACGCCTCTTCTAGAAGCTTATCAAAGTGAATGAAATCTGAGTCTAC